ACTGATAATATTCAGGGTCTACGTACCCAAATGTGCCTTGAACATTTGTAGTCAAATGAGTTTGATCAATGGCAATTGATCTCGATGTCCCAAAGTCTGAAACCTTTGCCCTATACTTTTCATCCAGTAAAATATTCAAGGACTTGACATCTCGATGATAAATGGGAGTGGAGGCTGCTGAGTGCAAGTAGGAAAGGGCAGATGCAACTTCTGATGCAATTGTTAATCGTCTTTCCCAAGATAATGGGAAGTCCTCATTTTCATCATGTATATACTGGAAAAGTGTCCCATTGGGGATGAATTCATAAACTAGCAAAGGAACTTCAGTCTCCAAACAACACCCTAATAACTTAACTATGTTTCTGTGATTAATCTGCGTAAGAATCACCACTTCATTGATGAAATCTTTAACTTTCTCTTCATCTAATACTTTGGACTTCTTAATTGCAACAATTCTTCCATCAACCAACATTCCTTTATAAACAGTGCCCTGACCTCCCTGACCAAGTATTCTATTCCAATTGAAGTTATCAGTTGCCTTTTCCAACTCCTTCGTGCTAAATGTTTTGGTCATTTCAACATTACCCTCAATTGAAGACAGTTGTTGCTGCAATAATAAGCTTTGTTTGAAGAACTGGCTCCGAAGCTTCATTTTCCGTCTCTTCTTTAACATTTTGGACACCCATCGTGCACCAATATTTAAGCAAACTACTGCAACCCCTAGACTGATACCTACAACTATTATGGAAGGAGAAAGGATGACTTTATCAAGAGATCCCCAAGAATATCAAAACTTTAAAAACTTAATGCTGTAAATTAATTGAAAGTTTAAGTTCAAGTCTTGAAATGGATGGGAACAAATTAAAAAAAGAGGACTATCTATTGTATAAATCATAATTTATCATAAGATAAATGAGAAAAAAAAATGAAAACTTTATAAAGTCCTGTTTCACATTGGCATCAATGTTTGGTTAAAATAGTTGCCATTAGAAAGAAAAATCAAAATGAAATGAAATAAAAATAAATAGAAGTCAATAGAATAAAGGGCTTACCCAAAATGAAAAGCCAGTTTGTTTTGTTCGATTTGTTTGTTTCATTTTCGCAAATGTAGGATCCGATGGTATTCCGGCAAGGTCCGTGGCAAAGATACTTTTTTGGTTCTTTGCACTCATCAATATCTGGTGGAGTATTCAATTAATCAGAACTTTCCATCGTACCCAATATATATATATATATAAGACATTGATTCGTATACCTTACAAAGTTACACACTTCATTAGTTATTGATAGTTCCATCAGTGTGTAATGAAAATTGTCGATTTTAACAACATAACTAGTGAAAATTGTCAGTTTTAATGATATAACTAACGAAAACTATTAGTTTTAATGACACAACAAAAACCATTGATATGTAATGAGTATGTAACTTTGCATGATATATGTATTATTTTTTATACATAAAACATTGCGCATATGGATGGGTAAAACCCTATTTAGAAAGATATGTACGTTGTTCTACAAATAATTTTAGATAATGATTTTATGTAATGTAACTAATTGAAACTTGTTTGTTATTATATAGAAGCATTATCTAATATGTTCAAAATTAATTTCTCCTTCCTATTAAACTTTAGTTGATGTAG